GTTTAGAAACTTGTATCTAGGACTAATATATACCTTCTCTGGTCACTTATTGCACATGGATATATAAGCAAAATTCAACTTTAAACATAATTCATATCTTATAAAATATGTTTTAATCAATTACATTGTTGTATTCTTAAATAATCATGTAGGAAGTTGATGTCTAACAGAATGAATAGGAGGAATCTGTTCAATGTCTAGATTGGTAGCATTAAGCCGTAGAATGTACAAGCATAATAGATGTTTTATGAACTGGATACAAACATTTTTAGCATTCAAGATGTTATGTGTTAATGACTCTGATGTCTGATGATGTTCTTTTATTCACCACACATTACCACTGTTTTAGAAATTATATATCTAATAACAGTGGGAGAACTTTTTGATGTGACTTTTTTTCTTCTACAGTTTGGAGAAGGAAAAACAGTTTTGTTATATAAATATAGGTAGAAGAATTGATTGCAATACATCAGATTCCACATTTCTTGATAGATACACATAGTAGGACCCTCATTCAGTAATTCAAATGATGTTTAAGTTGTCTGGCCATCTGTTTTCCATCATCACACATCATTTAGTATATAACAATTTAAATGTCTGTAAATAACTAGTTTTTGAACATATGTATTGGTAGATGATTTTGTGTCACTCAACACCACTCTCAGATTTTATGTTGTTTTTATTGTTAATACATTTATTTTATTTTTTTATTGTTGTGGTTGTTAATTTTGATATTGTCAGTGTCATCATTATTTTCTTATTTTTATTGTCATTGTAATTCTTACTGATAATACTTATTATCATCAATATGGTTATTATAACAGTTATTATTTCATAGATGTTATTGTTGTTATCATTATTACTATTGTTGTTATTGTTATTATTATTGTTGTTATTATTATTATTATTATTATTATTATTATTGTTATTATTATTATTATTATTATTATTATTATTATTATTATTATTATTATTATTGCTATTGTTGTTATCATTATTATTATTGTTATTATTATTATTATTACTACTACTACTACTACTACTACTACTACTACTACTACTACTACTACTACTACTACTACTATTGTTATTATTATTATTATCATTATTTTTAATATTCTTTTATTATTATTATTTTATTATTATTATTATTATTATTATTATTATTATTATTATTATTATTATTATTATTACTATTAACATCATCATCATCATCATCATCATCATCATCATCATCATCATCATCATCATCATCATCATCATCATCATCATCATCATCATCATCATCATCATCATCATCTTTATCCTTATCCTTATCCTTATTGTCATTTTCATTGTTATTATTATTATTAAAATTATTATTATTATTATTATTATTATTATTATTATTATTATTATTATTATTATTATTATTATTATTATTATTATTATTATTATTATCATCATCATCATCATTATTATTATATTAATAATGTTGTTGCTATTATTGTTGATAGCAACATTACTGTTATCATTATCTTCATATTGAAATGACAGTAAAAGTAATGATAATATTTGACTGTATTTTTCACAAGTATACAATATTTTTTTGCTAGTATATTCACAAACTTACTTATCTGCTATTTTCAATTTCTTGGGTTATCACTTTTTTCATCACCATCATATTAACTTCATAATTCATATAATCATTATATTGATTGTCATCATCAGATCAAGGTAATAAGGTTTTTCATATAATAATGTGGTAAAAGTGCTCTCAGGATTTCCAAGAGTTACTTCCAAGGGTTTAGCACCTCATACGAGGGTAGATAGTGAAAAAGAAATGTATACACATATAATAAACATATATACATTGTCATGATACTTCATCTGTCTCAGAAAATGTCAGGCCTTGATTTAGCATACTCTAACATTTACCTGTCATGGCACTCAGGTGGCGATGACGAGATCTGCCCTTATGCTACCTTCCACCTTCTGGGCTTCCGTGAGGAAATGGACCCCCAACAAGCCGGCAACAACTTCCAGACTTTCCCCCACCAGAACGGCCATGGCTCACAGCAACACTTCGTCAACTCCCCTGCCTCAAGGAGCATGGTAAGTGCTGGTGATAGTGGCATCTGTGGCAGTGGTAATGTTCCTGTGTTTTCTTGTAATGCTGGAGGAGAGAAAAAACTAATATTTACAAGGAGAATGGCATTTGTTTTAGGATTCTTAGGAGCGAGTGCTTTTTAACTTTTTTTTTCTTTTTCTTTAAGATTAGAGTTTTAGTTTGGTTTGGTTAAATTATATGTTTGTTTAATGTTATTATTATTAATGATAATGATATTACTTTTTTTATGTCTCCATGTTAGCCTCTTTTGAAAATGGAAAGTAAGGCAAGATATATTTGACTTGTAGCTATGAAGAAAGTAAGCCTTGGAGCTGTCAGTTTCATAGAGAGAGAGAACACAAGAGAGGCTAAAAGAACAACATTATAACTTGTCTTGTTAGCAATTAACTCTTTTATGTCTGTTGACTAATAACTTCTCTTAACTGCATGAGAGCAACATAACAGTGCAGGTTATGGAAGAAGGCTCATATCTTCAGTTTTGTTGTGTTTTTTCTTTTTTTTCCATGGGAGAAATGTGCTGAACTTTTATGCTTCAGATCTCAGTAGCTGTAATGAAATCAGCATTAAATATTGAAAGCTAATTAAAAAGAGAAATAAGAAAGGTTTGGATAAAGAATCAGATATGGATACAGATGAAGCTCTTAAGTGCAGTCAAATGAAATCAATGCTTTCATGTAAAAAAGGAAAAAAAATAGCATAAAATATTCAGTTAAATACCATCTCCAGTTGGTCTTCTCAAGGACACAGGTAAGATGAAGGCTTGCATAGTGTTTTAACCATGGAAGAGAATGAAGAAAGGAGGTATGCAAGTATATTAATAATGGAGAGGAATGTCAGGAGTATGTAACAAGTTATGAATCAGTGAGAGGAAGTGAAAAAACCTCCATAGGTTTTCAAAATAATCTATGGATGTTTGTCTGAAAGAGCTTCAATAGTCTTTATTTGCAGTTCTTTTAAAGGAATAAAAACTTTCATTTCATCTAAAAAAAAAGTTTTTTTTCATGAAAAAAAAAAATCTTTTTTTCTTTTCATGTGAATTTACATGTTTTCTAGATTTAGAATTGGTGATAAAATTGTTTGTAGAGTTGAGTATATGATTACTGTCTGTATTAAACAAAGCTCCTTCTTTATATATTTTATTTGCTTCATATGAATTTCATTTTGTATGAAAATATTATATTTCATCAAGGTATTTGCAGCTCTGTTTGAGCAAAAGTGAAGGAGGTTTGAGGAGAAAGTAGTTGTGTTAGTGTGAGGTGCATGTTAGTGTTGAGAGTTTACCTGAACCCACCAACACTAGTGCTTGCTTTTGGTCTTGCTTGGTGTATTAACCCCGGGACTGTTCGCTCCGGCAGCCACGTCATGGGTCTGGAAACTACTACAGCTGCGTTTCTGGCGACTATACTTGTGGCCATACCCCGAACGAAGGCCACCAGGTTGGTTTTGGCTATTCACTTCTGCTGGTGGCACCATAGTCACTAGCCAAAGTGTTGCCTTGCTAGTTCTGTAATCTGTTTTTGTTTATTGCTCTTAACCCACAGCCTGCTGCCTGGATTGCCATCTCACAGCATTTTCTGGCAAGGGCATCAGGGTTACATTTTGCTATGTAGTCCTTAATGTTACAGGCTTCTGCCCTCAGTCAACTGAAGTGCTGGCTGTCACAGCCTGCGATACTGTTGATGTAACATCTATCTGTGCTTCCTGCTTATTTCCCTCTACTCTAGGAGCTACAACTTGTTGATGGTGTATACCTCAGGGTTGACACTTGTCTCATTTTATTTGCTGCCACAAGACTTTGATGCAGTAGTAATATGTATCTACAGTATCTCCCCCAAATGTCATTATTTTTTTTTTCTTTTTTTGTTGGTCTTCTCAAGGACACAGGTAAGATGAAGGCTTGCATAGTGTTTTAACCATGGAAGAGAATGAAGAAAGGAGGTATGCAAGTATATTAATAATGGAGAGGAATGTCAGGAGTATGTAACAAGTTATGAATCAGTGAGAGGAAGTGAAAAAACCTCCATAGGTTTTCAAAATAATCTATGGATGTTTGTCTGAAAGAGCTTCAATAGTCTTTATTTGCAGTTCTTTTAAAGGAATAAAAACTTTCATTTCATCTAAAAAAAAAGTTTTTTTTCATGAAAAAAAAAAATCTTTTTTTCTTTTCATGTGAATTTACATGTTTTCTAGATTTAGAATTGGTGATAAAATTGTTTGTAGAGTTGAGTATATGATTACTGTCTGTATTAAACAAATCTCCTTCTTTATATATTTTATTTGCTTCATATGAATTTCATTTTGTATGAAAATATATTTCATCAAGGTATTTGCAGCTCTGTTTGAGCAAAAGTGAAGGAGGTTTGAGGAGAAAGTAGTTGTGTTAGTGTGAGGTGCATGTTAGTGTTGAGAGTTTACCTGAACCCACCAACACTAGTGCTTGCTTTTGGTCTTGCTTGGTGTATTAACCCCGGGACTGTTCGCTCCGGCAGCCACGTCATGGGTCTGGAAACTACTACAGCTGCGTTTCTGGCGACTATACTTGTGGCCATACCCCGAACGAAGGCCACCAGGTTGGTTTTGGCTATTCACTTCTGCTGGTGGCACCATAGTCACTAGCCAAAGTGTTGCCTTGCTAGTTCTGTAATCTGTTTTTGTTTATTGCTCTTAACCCACAGCCTGCTGCCTGGATTGCCATCTCACAGCATTTTCTGGCAAGGGCATCAGGGTTACATTTTGCTATGTAGTCCTTAATGTTACAGGCTTCTGCCCTCAGTCAACTGAAGTGCTGGCTGTCACAGCCTGCGATACTGTTGATGTAACATCTATCTGTGCTTCCTGCTTATTTCCCTCTACTCTAGGAGCTACAACTTGTTGATGGTGTATACCTCAG